CCTGGTAAGTGGCTTCTGCCTCCTGAAAGACACCGCTGGTTGTCAGCTCAGGGATTAGCTCTTCCCCTTGGCAGCTTTAACGTGGTTTGTGCTGGTAGGATACATGTGGGTGTCCTAGAGCAAAACTGACCCTCACATGAAGACAGGCTGGAATGGCACCTGGAGTCTGTACAGGACTAGTGTTACCTCAGAAATCTGATTTTCCTGTATCTCATCTCCTTGTCATGGCTTGAGGGAGAGCACCTGCTTTCTGGAGCTTTTTAGATTGGGTAGGAATGAACTTTGAAGGCTCAGACCTACTTTCCTAGCAGTGGAGACACTGTTTTCCTTGGGGGGTTGGCTCAGCTTGTTAGGGTTGCTCAGGTCCTGCTGCTCAGTGTTAGTCACTGTATGTCCAGTGTCCTGGGGTGTGTGACTTACCCTGATTCCTTTCTCCTTTTCCAGCTGAGGAGAAGAAAGAAGAGGAAAAGAAGGAAGAATCAGAGGAATCTGATGATGACATGGGCTTTGGTCTTTTTGACTAGTATTTTTGTACCTGTCTAATAAAGAACAGTTCCTTGTCTCTTGTGTGGATGTGTGTGGAGGGCAGCGGATGAGGGATGGTTGGGATCCTGCAGGGGCTCAAACTGCTGCTGTGTCTGTTCTGGGGCTTCCCAGCTTCCCCTCTGGGTTCTTGGTGCCTTTAAAAGCAGAGTCCTAGGGGTTGAGGGGTGTGTTTTTATTCTTCTCCAGGAAAAAAAATAATGGGGGGGGGTGATCTCTGAAAAACTGCATTGAAGGGTGGGTGAAGTGTGTGTGTATTCCTAAAATAGCTTTAACAGGCTGCTTCTCAGAGCAACTGTGAGGTGAGGGATCTTTATGTTCTAAAATACTCCATGAAAACTGGGCAGTAGCCAAAGGCTGAAAAGTGCAAGGAGAACCCAGAGTTGTGCAGGAAGGTTGTCCCACATCCAGCCCAGCCAGGGGTGCACTCTGCACTGCCCCAGCTTCCCAAATGAGATGGAAACAAGCTGGAGCTTGTTTCTTTTCTGAAAGAATTGTCTGTGCAAGCTGCTGCTGAGACCTCGGGTGTCAAAACAGTCCCTGCCAAGTGCCCAGTTACTATCTTCCTTACCTCCCCCCCCACCCCGTGCTTTCTGAAGCCTTCCCCTAGGAAAACTGGCTTTAAAAAGTAAAGGATTGTTAGGGAGCGACACCAAATCATTAGGAATCACTTGGAGGGAAACACTTGACTTGTTCCTGTGCTCAACAGGTGGAGGAAAAGCTGCTTTCTGGGAGACCTTAAATCTTGGATTTCCTCCTTGGCTGCTTCATGTTGCACCCTAAGTCCTGCAGAAGTGAAAACAGAAACTTGTGGATTATAGGATGGGGGGAAAATTCCAAGCAGAGAAAACCTGACAGTGGTTTCTTCCGCAGTGCACACACAACACACACAAAAAAATACAGCCAGAAGGTCACTGGTAACACCTTTTTAATAGGTCAAAGTAACTGTACAGTTCATTATATTCTTCCTGAGAATAATTTATATCCCTCAACAGCAAAAAGGGAGTGTGGTTTTTTATTTTAACAGAACAGATGGCATAACTGGAAAACCAAGGAAAAAAAAATCTAATTACACTGCTCTACTGTAACTCCTCCCAGGCAAGATAGACAAAAGGATGGGTTAGTTAACTACAGTGGGTTTAAAATATTCCACATGGCTTTAATCTGTCCTTATAAATTATATAAAAATGGGGGGACATGACTGGTTACAGAACTCCTCTAAATGCAGCTCTGAATTGCTCTGGTACAAAGCAGCATTTTTTGCTTCCAAGGAAAACAACGTTGCTACAAAAGAACTGGCACGTTATTCTGGTGGAAAAAAAGAGGAGAGGTTTCAGTTGAGTTCTACAGCTACTTCCAAACAAATGCTCCACACATTCACATAAAAGTAAAAGGCAGGAAGATGAAGAGGGCTTTTAGTTTCTTTTTGTCTTGAAATGACTTGAAGTCTTGAAAATATAGCTTTTTTTATTCTTTCTCTGTAAATTGTGATTAGCATATTGCGACGTTAAGTGTTCTAATAAAAAAAAAAAAATTCCAGTCTGGATAGTTCATATACTGTGGGCAAGAATTCTCAGCCCTGAGGTTTCCCCGAATTCTTCACTTCACAATATCTTTCTCCCACCTGCTGCTCCAACAGTTTTGGCTCCGAGACCGTGGCAGCTCTAGGCGAAGCGTGTCCCATGCGACGGTGTGAAACCCAAGTGTGCTCCATAGCTCTGCCTTTCCCCAGGAATTCTGTACAAACTTCATCTTGTGATAATGCCACTTTTTTTCTTTTTTTTTTGTGAGACTCCCAGACCAGCTTGGCTTCAGGATAAAAACTTTAGTGATGAGAGAGAAAACCAACAGCTGTCACGTCGGTCGGGCTGAAGCAAGAGGCGCTGGAAAGCCAGGACTACACGGGGTTCCTCCTCACTGCTGGTAGAAGGTGAAGGAACATCCTTTTGCAAGCAGAACTCTCAGACAGGCCGATGAGACTCTGCCCTGGGTGCCTAGTGTGGCCTGGGGTGGCTGATCATTTTCAGTCTGGCTTGATCAATAACATCCAGCAGGTTTTTGGCATCCACGGCCAGGGCGTGAGCAGCTGTCAGCATCTGCTTCTTGTACTCCTGCTGCAGGCTGGTCATCACGTACTGCTGGGCCAGCTTCATCTTGTTAATGAGCTCAGCCAGGTCCGAGTTCAGCAGCTTCTGGGCCATCTCAATCTGCAACAAGAAAGTTCCACCAGCTCCAAGTCACTCACAGCAGTGACCCTGGGGAGCAATAGCCCCATCAACCTCCCTCAGCAGCCCCTGCCTGAGGCTGCCCAGGGAAGCCAGGGCTGCTCTGTGGGCACCAGGTGGAGCAGAGGGAATTTCATCACCTGCTGCTCCACGCTGTGTGGAGATCAAGAGTCAGCTGCTGAGCCAACCACTCTTCAATGGCATCAAGACCAAAATTTAGTGGCTTTTAAACCTGCACCTTGAGAGTTACCTTTGGGACAGGTTCCCAGGTCCCTCCTGCCATCGCTCATTACTATTATTAAAGTAGCTCTGAACCATAAAAGTAGCTCTAAAAATATGAGAGACAAGAGGTCAAGAAGGCAAGATACAGGTACCTCAGCAGAACCACAGAGTGAGGCAGGATGAGCTCTGTGGAGAAAGACCTTGGAGTCCTGGTGGACAACAAGTTATCCATGGGACAACAATGTGCCCTTGTGGCCAAGAAAGCCAGTGGTACCTTGGGCTGCATTAAGAGGAGTGTGTCCAGCAGATGGAAGGAGGTTCTCCTTCCCCTCTACTCTGCCCTAGTGAGACCCCACCTGGAGTGCTGTGTCCAGTTCTGGTCTCCCCAGTTCAAGAGGGACAGGGATCTACTTGAGAGACTCCAACAGAGGCTACAAGTATGATTAAGGGACTAGAACACCTGCCTTGTGAGGAAAAACTGAGAGATCTGGGGCTGTTTAATCTTGAGAAGACTGAAAGGGAATGTTATTAATGTCTAGAAATATCTGAAGGGTGGGTGTCAAGAATGGGCCAGTTTCTTTTCACTGGTGCCCTGTGATAGGATGAGGGGGCACCAAGTGACAACAGAGGAAGTTCCATCTCAACATGAGGAGAAACTTCTTTCCTGTGAGAGTGACAGAGCCCTGGGACAGGGCCCAGAGAGGTCGTCGAGTCTCCTCCTGTCTGGATTTGTTTCTGTGTGACCTGCCCTGGGTGTTCTGCTGCAGCAGGAGGGTGGGACCTTATGATCTTCAGAGGTCCCTTCCAACCCCTACCATTCTGTGATTCTCTAAGCTGGCACTTACTGATCCATGCTCTGGCTTTCTCATTATCACACTTGTTCAAGGTTTTGGGGGAAAAAAGTCTTGCTCCTGACCCATGAACTTCACTGAAAGATCTCAGTTGCTTCTCATCCAGAACTAGGTTCTTAAGGGATATCTCATTAACACCTTTCACTTGCACCTGGTTAATGACTTTGTGTACAAGCTGTAGTTTAGTGAAAGATTAAACTTGCACTAAGTTTGTGTAAACACAAAGAGAAGGCTCTGGAGAGACTTCACAGTGGTCTTTCAGTGCCTGAAGGGGCTACAGGAAAGCTGGGGAGGGACTTTTTGCAAGGGTGTGTAGTGAGAGGACAAGGATTAAAACTGGAAAAGTGTAGATTTAGGTGAGACATTAGGAATAAATTCTTTCCTGTGAGGGTGGTGAGACACTGAAACAGGTTCTTCAGGGAAGCTGTGGCTGCCCCATCCCTGGAAGTGTTCAAGGGCAGGTTGGATGGGGCTTGGAGCAGCCTGGGCTGGTGGGAGGCGTCCCTGCCTATGCAGAAGGTTGGAACTGGATGATCTTTAAGGTCCCTTCCAACCCATTCTTGGATTCCATGTGTCAAGTCCTCTTCAATTACATCCAGTTTTAAGTGTCTACACTTCAGCCTACGTCCACAAAGAAATGGAGTTTGAATTTATTAGAGAAGAATTATAACCTGAGATTTCATCCTGCTTAGTGAGTGAAAACATACATGTGCAGAAAAGAAAGAGCCAAATCATGTCCAGCCAACCTGAAATGTCATGACTGAGCAGCAGGTGAGTGGAGCTCTACGTACCTCTCTGTGGGTGCTGGCAGGAAGCACTGGCAGGCTCTCATCTACTGTTGCCAGCAAGGTTCTTAATGCCAAGCCAACCTCCTGAGAAAAAATATCAATTCAGAAAATAAACTTTAGAAACTTGGAATGAATGGATGAGAGACTTGTAGCTGGAGTGCAAGAAGCAATTGACTGGCTGCATCCCTCATCTGGGTGAGAAGGGAGTTAGGACGCGGCTGAGGGACTTGGAAAACCCCTCTTAAAATCCCATATTTCACCATAAAAACAAAATGCCAGAGGGTTAATTAAAACCCCCTTCTTTTTTAATAAGTGAAATGCAGAGAAAACTGCACATGCCACTGCCCCTGGCTAGCACAGGCAAGCTGGGGAAGAAAAGCACCATTCCCACCATCCAGTTAACAGCATCCAAAGCTCTGGCCCTCTGATCACAAGTTACCTGACCCACAAACAGCTCTTCTACCTCCAGCTTCCCAGAAAGCTTCTCCTGCATCACCTGAAGACCTCACACAGGAGAACTCCTTCAGGAGAGAAACCAGCCACTGGTTTCAGGCACTGCCTCCCTACCTTTACCATGGGCACATACTCCTCGGGGGGAGCTGGTTGGATTTTGCTGGACATTTCGATCACCGCCTTCACCAGCCCCGTCACGTTCTCGTAGACCTTGTCATTGGAGCGGTCCAGGTTGGCCGTGGGAGGAGGGCTGATCTCCTGCGGCTGGATCTGGAAGCAGAGAAGAGTTGTTTCACCTCCTGTCCCCCAGCAGATGGGGCTCAGCAGCTTCCTAAGCTCCGGGAAAGTCTCCCAATTCACAACATCCCCACCCTGGTCCCGCTGGGAGCCCTGTCCTGGCTGAACACACTTGCTCCCAGGGCTAAAAGAATTTCCTGTAGTTCTTCTGACTGACTCTGATCTGTGAAGTGGATACTAAAGGATTTTTACTAGGATTTCCCTGAAGAGCTTCTGGTATAACTCCCACAAAAGAGACTAGAAGAATTAGAGGAACGAGGAGGACAGAGTCCTTGGCACATCTAAGGCACAACAAGTGACAGGTCCCTCGTTCCAGAAAGTTGTTTTGTGCCCCAAAACAACACCAGAGCACATTGTTAACTTACTGACAGAGTAAAGAGAGAATTTTGCAGAAAACACAATTGTTTTGTTAGTGAAAATTCACAGTAGATGAACTAAAATGGTGTCACCAGCACAGGTGGGAAACCCCAAAGGTTTTCATCCAGTTTGTTTCCAACAGATGAGAATAAAACCAGAGTCAGTTAAAAAACCTGTAATCCTCACACATGCAAAACTTGCATGGAGTCAGATCTGACTGGAGTGAGATCCAAGACAGGCTGAAATAATCCTGGGTCAGAAAACAAACTTTGAAAACTTCCTCAGTATCTCTGCTCCTGACCTGTAGCTACAAGCATCCCAGTTCCCCAGGATGGCCAAGGATGTCCAAGCAAGCACTCAGAGGGAGCAAAAGGTTAACAAATGGATTATTGGTCACACAGCAGCTGTTCACCCTGCTGATCTGAGATGGCTCATGGCACCTCAGCCCACCACACTGGGTTACTGCTGGTTCTTACTACTGGTCCTAGCTAGAGATGTTGCCCTGGAAGCAACCGAGGTACTACCCTGACGGGACTATAAAATACTTGGATGTAACTTGAGGAAGGAGCACAGGATTTAGGGCATGGGGAGTCCACGTTGTTGATTTCACCCAGGGGGTACTGACAACAGGGGTTCAATCTAGTTACCCATTGGAAAACAGCTCAGGAAAAAGAACACTGAAATTGTCTCCATCACCAGGGAAAGGCTGTGATTCTAATTGGTGTCAGCAAAAATCAAGAAGGAGTTAAGACAGTCATCTGGCAGAGTCACATGCAAAGACATTTTGGGACAGGGCACGTACACACGCGCTCACGCACTGCTTACCCTCCATGGCTATGGTTGAGCAGAATGTGGGGGGAGGTTAAAGAAATTTACCAAAAGAAGGGAAAAAAAGAAAAAACAATATTAATAAAACTCAGCAGAAAAAAAAAAACCAAACCAAACCAACAACCAACCAAACCAAACCCAAAACCTGTGTAGCAATAAGAGACCAGTTAAAAAAAGACAAGCCTTGCAACAAAAAAGCATCCTCAGGAGTAGGGGCAGTCATTCCTGTTAGCTCTTGGTCCTGGTGTTAGGGAAGCCCAGTGTGCTGGCAGAAGGGGAGGTGTTTGCCAGGCACCCATGCTGCCTGCTCAGGGAACACCTGGCAAGAAATCATGCAAAGCTGGACAGGAGCAAGCCAGCCTGGAGAGCAGCAAAGTGGTGAGTGGAGCAGAGGGGGCCTTTGCAACAGCAAGAAACGATGTGTCCTCTGCAGCCCCGCTCCCTGCACACCAACAGTCTGTGCTTGGGGTCAGAACATGTTGTGTTCAACTTTCTGAGCCTTTAGAAAAGCCATGATATGAAATACATGGTCGTTGAACTGTGCAGCTCTTGCTGGCAATGCCTCATAACACTGCCATGGTTAAGAACTGCCAAGAACCCATTCTAGGTGGATTACACCCAACTGAACTCCTACAGCCAGGTCCAACATTTCCAGAGTACAGACACCTGCCTTTTAACACTCTTTTCTTCAGTTGTTTGTTCATGCCCAACATCAACAGCACTGCCCTGCAGACTGTCAAGTCACCAGTTTCTTTGTCTGGACTGAGGGAACTGGGATTGCTTAGTCTGGAGAAAAGGAGGCTGAGGGGAGACCTTCTCACTCTCTACAACTACCTGAAATGAGGTTGGAGCAAGGAGGGAGTTGGTCTGTTCTCCCAGGTAACAAGTGACAGAGGAAATGGGCTCAAGTTGCTCCAGAGGAGGTTTAGATTAGATTGAAAAAAATTCTTCATTGGTAACTAAGCACTGGAACAGGTGAGGTGGTTGAGCCTCCATCCCTGGAGGTGTTTAGAAGACCTATGGATGTGGTGCTGAGGGACATGGTTTATGCATTGGACTTGGTAAATGGTTGGTAGAGTGAGGTTATGGTTGGACTCCATGATCTTAAAGGTCTTTTCCAACCAGAATGATCCTGTGACTGCCTGACTTCACTTCAGCAAGTAACAGAAACCCATGTATTTCATGGTCCATACCCTGAAGGCTCCTAAGGGCAAAGCAGCTCAAACCCTCCGATTTTAATTTGTGTTCTGCAGGAAAGGGAGGCTGCACTGGGAATGTGAAAGGGGTCTACACAAAAGGGATTCTGAAGTGAACCCCAGAAGCATCTTCAGTTTAGGACTGTAGACAATAACAAAGCTATAGGCTACAGAAAAATAATGGGCTGTTTTCTTGAAGGGGCATAAAGCAATTCAATTTAAAGAAACTTGTAGAAAAAGCAAATCAGTCCTTCTTTTCTACTGAGGAAGCTATTTAGGACATGACTCTTGTTCACTTGTTATTAGTGATGACATTGGCTGCCCAGGTTGGTTTGCTGTCAAAAGGACATACTTCAGGAAATATTTTTCACGTCCCAGTACAAGCATTTAGAAAGGACATTTTAGAGAAGCCAAGTTTAGCAACACATCTATTGCTGCTTTTTGACATTTTCTGAGGCCTGGCTACTTGAAAAGCACAGGCACCAGTTTATAATAAATAATCCTGCTCAAATTCACCACTGCCTGTCTGCTTACACTGGTCCTTAAACATTCTGATAATCTCAGAACAAGAGAGCAGAGACAGGCAGGCAGACCCATTTGTGCTGAACAGATTGCTCTGATGGCAGGTTTTGACTTTCACTCTCAAACTGGGGTTTTTTTCTGTATCTTCTTAAACCACCTAAAGAAAATGTCACTGATCACAACAGCCACGTCTCCCACAACGTGGATTCCTGTTCTTTACTCCCAGCCTTGGCAGGGCTGAGGTCAGTAGGAGTTTCTCCTTCTGCGAGGAGCTGTACCACTGGCACCAGCTGTTGGAGGACAGCAAGGAGTGCCCTGGTGTAACTGCAGAGGCCTGTGCTCCAGTGTAGATCCTGCTCTTAGGAAAGAGCTGGAGGACAAGCACATCAGTCCCCGGGCACTACTGATGGCATCAAGTGGCAGAAGGGGAGCAGGAGGGGTATTTGTCTGGCTGCAAAGGTGGTGAAATTAATGAAATGAGGGTCTCCAACCATTACTAGATCTAGCTGCTGTAAACTGCTAGTATTACAAATAGCTCCAGTGGTTCCTCTCAGGAGGCTCTGGGGTCACTCAGGTTTTTGCTTCCTCAAGATTAGGTCATGGAGTCCCACAGGCAGGGGAACAACATCTAGAGGCCTGAATTTAAAATGTGACTGACATACTAAGGAGCAGTTCCACTGACACCAACTGCAACAGGGGACAGGACGTTGTGTTTCACAGCACCCTGCAGCATCTCTCTGCCAGGGAACTGGAAACTTCCATTTCTGGCTTTATTGCCTATTTACTGGAGGTAAACCAACACATTAGAAAGTATCTCAACCACAGGTCAGACAGCCCTGACCACACCATTTCCTCCCTTTCCTTGTTCCCCAGAGCCAGTAGGGTTTTAGGAGCCTCGGTGCTGCAGCAAGAGCTTTTTGGAGCACCAGAGTCCAGACACATCCCACTTCTCTTGTGACCAAGGACAGGATACTTTGGTACTACCAAAGTTTGGGCTGGAGCAGCTCTGCTCTGGAGACAGGTAAAAAGAGTTGGGGCTGTTCAGCCTGGAGAAGAGAAGGCTCCAGGGAGACCTTAGAGCTCCTTCCAGTGCCTGTAGGGGCTCCAGGAAAGCTGGGGAGGGGCTTCTGACAAGGGCTTGAAGGGAGAGGACAAGGGATAATGGATTAAAACTGGAAGAGGGGAGATTAAAGTTAGGCATTAGGAAGAAATTCTTCACCATGAGGGTAGGAAGGCACTGGAACAGGTTGCCCAGGGAGGCTGTGGAAGCCTCATCCCTGGAGGTGTCCAAGGGCAGGTTGGATGAGCCTTGTGCAGCATGGTCTGGTGGGAGCTGTCCCTACTGATAGCAGGGAAGTTGGAACCTGATGGTCTCTAAGGTCCCTTCCAATTTTAACCATACTATAACTCTGCCTGAGTAACTGGGAACCCTGGGTTTGCTCCCTCCTGAGCAGGGAACTAGGTCCATTTGGAGATCTCATGTGCTCCTCAGGCTAAAACTAAGCTCATCTGGGAAAGGTTCTGGGTGAGGAACAGGCTGAATCACAGTAAGGGAGGATATGAGCCTACCAGTTCACTCCCCACTTCCCCAGAGAGTTGCCAGTGCATGTTTGCCTCATGACAACATCAATCTGGGAAGCTTTAGTGTCGCTTTTGCTTTCCACAGTCTCTACTTCAGGAACAGCAAACTAGCTCAGGACAGCAACTTTTTCATCTTCTGAAATGTATTTCACTTGAGACTGAGCAATGTACCTTCACACCCTCGTTGTAGCTGTCCACAGGGCTGTTGAGGCTTGCAAGGCTGCCCAGATGGCCGGGGGCTCCAGGGCGGGGGGGTTTCTTTGGCGGAGCTGCGTGATCTGGGTAACGAAACAATTTGCATGTCAGAGGATCAGCAGAGCAGAGCTGAGTCTTTTTTTTGTCTGTCAGCAGTACAAAGGCTACAGGTGATTTACTGCACCAGCAGAGATGTACATCGTAATGTCCCTTAAGGTCCCTTCCAACCTTCATGATTCTATGTGGCAGGGTTCCCTGCTCTTGGCAGGGGGGTTGGAACTAGATGATCTTCAAGGTCCCTTCTAACCTTCATGATTCTATGATTCTAATGTGTCTTAGAATAAATCCACTGTTTGTAGGAGCTGCACTTGAATCTGTATTTCTACTGAAGAAATGCAGAGAGAAAAGGCTGAGGAATTTATCAAGGTTTCCTGTGATTTTGAAGATGTGGCTGCTCTAGTGAGATACCTAAAAAATCCCTTGGTGGGGCAACTGTTACTCATCTGAGTACCTGTCACCCCAGACCTGAGAGCCGCTCACCCCTTTGGGCCACTCATGCTGCCTGTGTCTGGGAAAATGGGATTTCTCCACAGCAGAAATCCAGGGTGTGATTCATTCTGAGACTGAGAAACCTAAACTCAGGTGCCTACTTCTGTTTTACATGTCTGAACTCCACACAGGGTGAAGTCTTGCAGGGTGACTCAGCTTTCTTGAGACACTTCCCTCCTGTGGATGATGAAACACTTCCTGGCTTCACTCCCTGCATCCCTGGGGACTGCACAGGGAATCTGCACACACCGTGCATGGAACACCCACGTGTAGTTGTCTGGAACTGAATCCACCCCTTATATCAAGACACTGGCATAAATCTTTGTTCACTACTGGTGACAGAAGACTTGTCATCAAGGATTCAAGACAACAGTGTGTGAATTTACTGCTTACCTGGTTTACCCACAGGTTGATATATGTGCTGGTTACCAGCCTACAAGGTAAAACAGAAGAAAATATGCATTTAGAGTAGTTATCACAGTGCTCACAACTTCCACCAGCACCATCTCAACCACTGAGAGTGGCCCAACATTTCCCT